AAAAAATTGTTTCAGGAATGCATCACGGCATGCCGCCGTTATGCCTCCACCGCCGGGCATGGGCATGCCTCCTATGCCTCCTTTTGGAATGCCTGCACCACACCGATGTCATCTACTTCATCAGCACCCTTAGGGCCGCCTATGCCTCCAACAAAGATAGGGTATGTGACCGATTTCCACATCATAATAGCTGATATTGATCGCTCTATTCCAGCCCTACACATCCAGATCCTTCGCGTGAAGAACCTAAAACAGATTCTGACACTGATTACCGAATTGCGCCTGATTATAACAGAGGACAGCACGATCAAGATGGATACGATTACGACGTAATTAACAATAAATTTCTTTTTCAACCTCGTCTCTTTATTGTTTCCAATGTTCATCGTTACTTAATGTTTAGGGTGGAGATCATTATGGATCTGAAGACTACAGAAGGGGCGGTCCACCTAAAGACGACTATGGAGGTCAAAGAGAGGATTACAGTCGAGGTGTTCCACCTAATATCAGAGGAGATGATTACCCTGCTCGACCTGGGGCACCACCCGAGGATTACGCAAGGGACGGTTATGAAAAAGGCGATGGTTATGGTCGTGGTCCTCCCGGAAGGCCGGATTACAATGGCCGCGGATTTCCACCACCCAGCGATTCCCACATGAATCGAGACTACCAACGGGGAATGCCTCCACAGAGCGACGATTACTCAAGGACACCAGGTTGGTTTTCTCCGTCTATCGTCTCAAACAATTTTGTGGTCAATTCACAGATTTTTAGGAGAAGGATTGTATAATTGTAACCATTTTATGAACAGGGTATTTTCAAGTAGCGGTTTACATTTAAGGGTCTCGTTTTGATCGTCCACCTGATGACCGAGCAGGAGACAGAGGAAACGATCTCTATGGCGGTTCGATGTATAATGGAAACGGAGTTGTAAGTTTTCAGTTTAGATGATTGATGAGGTGGTTCTGAGGCAAGTGTCAGAATTAGCGACTGATCTCTAACGATTGGCCACAAAGTCTGGCACTTGTCTAATCTATCATGTATTCAAAACTTGGTGAGGCTCAACGCCCACCACTGGCCTTTAATTTCCAGGCATATTGTGCACGCATTATGCGGTTATCATGCGGATTGCCCGCTGAAGCACTAGGATAGTTAGGGCGCGGTGGCGCTGAAGACGTTTTCAGTCTTTTACGATACCGGTGTTTCAGAATACCATGGGGCAGGTGGGGGTACGTTTCGCGTCTAATAGGAAGCGCACCGGCATCGTGTACTCGCAGCGAAAATGTCTGCAAGCGGCGCTTGAGGTGGAGTCTGTCTTCATTTGGCGCATGAATTTGAACTCACTTTCGTGCGGTAATCTCTGTCCACATATTGTGGTGTCATGACTGCTCCCGTGTCTGTTCGCTGGTTTGTGCTGAACTTCAACTTGGGTGAAAACAATGGATAACACGGTCTGCCCGCTGGGAGTAAACAGTTGAAGTTTTTCATCTGCAACTCAAAGTGGCGCTTCCGCGGTATTGACGCCTTATAAACGGCATGATAAGGCGCCGTAAAAGAGCCACCCATTCTTCAGAATTTTGCCCGCGCACCGTTTCGGACGAGAGGAGTGGCAGCGCACTTGATATGATGCTGTTATCGTCCCATTTTCTGAGTCTGCGATATGTTATGCGATTTTGTGATGCAGTTTTGATCTTTAATGTTTGACTTCTTCTGTTATTTCAAAATTATTTTTGTTGCAGGGTTCGCATTCGTCCGTTCTAAATTCTTCTGCCGCAGCGGTGGCCAACAAGCTTGGAGCAAAGACGCGTATAATTCATCCTGATGATCATCAAACCACGTCATTGGTATGCTAATGATTGATCTTTAATATTCGCACAACGTTCAATTGCAACAATATTCAAGTGTGTGCTACGTAAGGAGCAAAGCAAAATCAAATTAGTGATTATGTTGGGCTAAGGTTACCTTGAATATTCTGACTCGCTTAGACTAACGTTTTTTCTTTGGGTTCCTTGAAAGAGGATTCCGTGATAAGGCCTGGAGTCAGAAGATGAAATATACCTTTTTGAAAGACAGGTTGATCTCCTAAGAGTGTGGGACGATTCGCGATTTGCTCCGAAGTTAGTACCCCTAGCGGCCTTACAGGGCCGTACTCTGGACTCCCGCGCTTCTCCGTCTGACTTTCTAGTCGTCCAGCAGAAAGCGTTGGCGTTGAAGATTCAGCACAGACGACGTTCGCATCAGTGCGGAAATCAGCGCGCAATGGAAAGATCCCATTTCTCGTGGTTGGTCTGTTTCTAGTGGTTTTCCTCATTTGTGCACTTCTGACCATCACTACCTTGATTTCTAATGGACTGGCATCTCATTGTAAACTCTGCGCCCAAAGGAGGATTCCACGATAAAGGTTGGAGATCGAAAAAGGAAAAATGTACATAGTCTGAATGCAGGTGGACCTTCAAAGAATGCATTTCGCAGCGAAGAGGTGCCTCCAGCGGGCTAGCTGGTCCATTGCATGCTCACCCTCTCGCTGTCTGACTCTAGCAGAAATAACATTAGCGTTGAAGAGGGCAACACCGATGAGAGTCGCATCAGTGCGGAAATCAACGGGCAAAAAGGCATCCCATTTCTCGGGTTCTGGGCTGTTTCTCATGGTTTCTTTTCCATCCTCCATCCCTGCATCACTGACTACCACTATCTTGATTTTTGATGGGTTGCCTTTTCATCGTAAACTCCCCATTCAACACATGCTAGGGTACATTGAAATTATTGTAAAAAAGTAATTCAAGTGTCGCAGAAATTCCCTTATTTTGTACTACCTGCAAATTCAAGAGTGCTTGAAAGATTTCGAAAGCCGTAAGGCTTCAAGGTGTTCTCGATCCCAAACATGGCCGTCGGTGTTGAGCTCAAGTCACCGTAGATGCGGAATGAGTTTGAGCCAGTAGTTTTTCCATTATGCAATGTGTGCATATCCATTTACCACTAATGTGAATTTTTTTGATTTCACCACATTTAGGAAGAACGACGTGCGATGATGATGATGTCCGCTAGGGGTCAATATCGTTAATCTCACATATACATTTCATGATTTCTGAAGCAGCAACAACTGATTAATTATATCTTCATCCTGATTGTAATCCTATTTTTACTGCATTATGTTGATGTTGTTAAATGTGGTTTCCGTAATTTGTTCACCCATTGTATCTCAATGAATGTTAATCTATTTAGAATACTGGTATCATCCACAGTGTGATAATTAGAAGGAAAAGAAAAGTAAGGACAATGAATGTGGTTAATGACTGACTTCAAACTTGAACGCTGGAGTAATTGAGGGCAAAATAACGAACGATGCTAGTGCTAGATTCATTATCTACTAGGAGGTCCCAAAATCTTGTGCACTTTTTGCACCGCACGCACTTATTTAACGATTTCTGAATATGACCAAGTAGGCAACGAAGAGCCCACTAATTGAAGTAGATTACGTCAGAATCATGCCTTGGCTGCTTTTTTCGTGTTCTGAGTGGAAAAAGAAGTCATGTTTTTCCTTTGGGTTACGAACTTTTATTGAGCTACAAACCGGTCGAAGCTAGAATAACACTTGTTTTGCGATACATCTCCTTGTCGTCGTTAACCATTCTGCATC